ATCTATACTAAACTAAGTAAAAATCACCTTGGATCCCTCCTAGATGACACTGTAACCATGAAATCTGTGCTGAGTTTGTATAAAAAGTCATGGTTTATATGTATGGGAAACAAAATCATCGTCGCAAATTAAACCACGACCAAAATGCCCATACACTGTACTCTCCCATTCTGGAGGAAAGAGCTGTATGCAGACTCCAGACCGTGTCTTGAGACAATGGGGGAAACAATCCGAAACATGGGAAAGGAGATATGTGGGTTTATTTTGTTTATTTGGGGGTTTGTGGTTGATTTGTTGTGTTTGTTTGCCTTTTTTTTTGCATGAGAAGAGATTTCTGGATTGTATATTTTTTTGACTGGAAAAAAATTCTGGATCCGCACCTGTTCATCTGTTGGCGTTTAAAGAGGTTTAAATAAAGTGGTTACAGATTTGGTAACTAATTTACAGTTTATCAAAACAAGTGCCGTCAAACGTCTTTGACTATGAATCTCGAATGAATTTCCAGTATGCATAGCAATGCACACTACCCTAGAGCTTCTACCGAAGGGATAACACTTGACGATTAAAAACGTGTAAAGGTACGTCGGCAAAATTATATCCTTCCATATGTACAGCAAGTGCGAGGGATAATTTTAAACAAAATGTCAATACAATTACGCAGGATAGGCAACAAATACATGTATATTCACATGGTAATCATAATGTTAATTACGCACGACCCTTGTGTTTTGAATGATCACACAAGTAGCAACCGCTTAATAAAAAAAGCCTTCTGTTGCCAATACTATAATTTCAACACCCCCCCCCCCCAAAAAAATGGATTGAACACTTAATATTCATTTTTGCGTGACTTTATTTATTAATCAATATTGGGATACAGCTATAATAATATTTAAACCGTGAATAATTCCCCCTATTTTTTCTTAATGTATCATTTTAAAAAGTTGCTTTTGATTTAACAGGACAATATAACAGCATTTAGACACGTTTTAATCAAAGCAAAAACTAGCTATATAGCTGCATGTATTTATCTCATGATTCAAAACTTCTTAACAGTCCTCTGATAAAATTTCTCAAATTCTTAGGTAGGGTTTATTTTAGCGGATCCCCCTTCCAATAATGTAGGTATAATTACTTTCATTTGAATAACGTTAACGTCATACCGTTTCAGTACACATGTGTATATATAACGTAACAAGTCATGACGTTATACATGTAGATTTTACTTGAAAACAATACCAATTTCAAACGACTATAAAAAGAAAACTGGAAAAGATATCATTAAAAAAATAAATTATGTTATAACCCACAAAGTCTAACCTATCACACAATAAAATTTTATTCATTTTGGTAACAGGGCATATTTTTGCACTTCGCGGCTTTACCTCTTTTAATTATTCATTGTGGAGGGAACAATACATACTTTTTACAATAGGGTAAAATTCCATTGCTGCAACTACGGTCCAAAATGTGTTCAACACTCAAAAAACTTAGCTACTCCCTAACACAACAATTGGTTGGTCTAATATTTTGCCAAGAATTTCATGGCGTTTTAGTTCAAACTCAAATCTCAAAATCTTGCTACTGTTAGACTCAATAATTCTATGAATCACTCAGTTACTGTCAATGGTGGGTTCTTTATCAAATACACAGAGATTACCTGGGATTCAAATGAAATGTTTAGTTGTGATGGAGTTCACTTGTCGTACATCGGTAATTGTTTTTTGCTATACAACTTACAAAGGGCTTTACAAGAATATGTTTTTCTATAAAAGGTTAAATATGAGCTTCAAGATGTGCCCACGCCTACACATATTTTTGAGTCTTTCATTCCACCTAACTTCGTTAGCGGTGGTTGTCATTTTCAACGGACAACCATTTGGTGGTTATTCGAGACGCCTTTCATGATACAAGTGGTTTTTTTTTTTTTTTTTTTTTTTTTTTTTTTTTTTTTTTTTACAAATTCTGCTGAGTATCTGCTATTCAGTCCCAGCTTGAATGTTGTCAGTATTCAAAACTTCAGGACTTTATAAGGTTAAGGATACAATGTTTATAAAGATAAGTATATAAAGTGTATAAGGATAAGGATATAAGGTTTATAAGGATAAGGATATAAGGTTTATAAGGATAAGGATATAAGGTTTATAAGGATAAGGTTTATAAGGAGTTATGTTATAACGATTAACAAAGTATATATTGTATTATGTAGGTCGTGGCCACAATCGCCAAATCAAAAATAAACGATTTTAAGAAGTTATATTTGTCTTCATCGTCTTTAATAATTACTTTTTAGAATTATAAATCAGACATTTTACTAATATTTGAAAAAAAATAAGTGAATTAAATCATTTATCACAATGTTAATTTTAAAATTCAACAATGCTTTCCCCCCCCCCCCCCCCCGATAAACCTATATATTTTCTGTTCTACAATCAACATATAAAAGTGCTTATATATTCTTGAAATACTTTTTTCTTTGTTATTTTCTCAAATCCATATATTTAAATGAAATAATTCATATTATTCATTAAATTATTCGTTATTTTCTGTCTTAAAATATACAAAATATAGATAAATCTAAGAAGGGATGTAATTAGTCTAAGTACTGTAAAAAAGTAACTATCTTAACATATATTGTTATTTGCAAGTGGGAATATTATGGAATTGAAATCTTGTTCAATTCTGAATGGCACACGGTGATCAGCTTGGGTTGCTACATGTACATGTAGTTATTAGCAAAAAAAACCCCAGCCTTTTGATCAATTGTCCATATCACTGTTAGAGGAGACACACAATGGACATGACAATATATGTGAAAGCAGATATATTTTGAGAATCTGCAAGGTCGAAAGGAAGTAACAGTCAAGTTTTATTTTATTATAGTGAAGATCCCTTAATGTAATAAAGTGACAAAACACTGGATGCAGAAAAAGCATTTTATTTATAATGATATGATTAATTTTGCAAACCTGTAGAAAGATGGCATTGTTAGAGAATTCTGAAAATGTTGGAATTCTTCTTAAAAGGAAAGAACTTCTTTTAAATAAAATGGAGTCAAGAATTAGACAAGATGCCATGAATTTCACTAAGAAAATTTAAATTTTCTAATATTGATTTTTATCAACACCAATAACATTACAGCCACATGGAAAATAATTTGAAGTAAGAAGCGCTGCTTATTTTCTCAGAAATCATTTTTATGCCAGATCATTATATGAATAAATTTCAAAATAAAGAACATAAAGAGTAACGATTTATTATCACAATATTAGATTTAAAATATGAGGTATGTATGAAAATAACACTTAGTATCATACCTATGAATATCTTGTTAGATAACATCATGAAGCGATGCTTCTTAAGTCAGTAAATCACAATGTTGTATGTGGTTTTAAGGGGAAAAAATACATCTGTGAGGAGGAGTTATCTTTCTTCTAAATATATCTTCATGTGATAAAAAAACGTCATGCTAAGAAAAATCCTATTTTAAGTACTTAAAACATTAAACCGTTTTCAAAATGGTTCTTCAAAAGATACAACTTATTCAATCTATAAGGCTTTTTTAAGTTAGATTTAAATGTTTTATTGTTAAATATGATAAAACATCTAGGAAGAAAGTGGCTAAAGAAATAGAAAGTAATGTTTCCATCACATGTAGATTTCTCCTAATTGACTACTCAGAGGACGCAATTAATCAGGGCGGAAAATCTGATTAAGAAAACTATGAGTACTTTTGATTTCATATTTTGTACTTTGAAAGTTATCTGTCTTATCAGAGGGTCGGTACACCTTAAATTTAGAAGTGATGCAAGAAATTAAAATTCATCCTTTCTGAATTATTAAAATTCCATGCAGAAAATAAAGCAAATCGTTTTTCTAAATGTCTCCCTGTATACAGGACATAAAAACATATTTCTGTTAATTAGCTTTTGATATCGATGAATATTATGACCTGTTCACATGGAGAGTTTAATTCGAATTAAACAAAAGGTACTGCGAATACAATTTGAACCGCGTTCACACGGAGAATTAAATACGAGTTACTCTTAATTCAAATTAATTTTCTGCGCATTAAATTACTTAACATTACCTCCGTTTAAACGTTTGGCAAAGGTAATGCGAATTAAATTTTGACGTAAGTGTAAGGCCAGAATAAAGTAATAGGCCACATATCGGTGATTAGATTTTGGTGTCTCTGTTATTTTTGATTGAAAAATAAAAGAAAACTTTGTTAATCACAGAAATTTATACAGTCACTATGAATTGTTATGTAAAATAGATCTGCTCTGCATACATGACGTGATTTACAAATGACATTAGGATAGCCTTACTGATGCTTGTTAAAGAAAAAAAATAATTCGAATGAGTTTAATTTGCTTTAGCTCTCGTGTGAACGCAATTTAATTCGCATTAGTTTACTTCACATTAATTTACTGTAAATTAAAATCTCCTTGTAAACAGGCATTAGATATTTAATTTTGTATATCGGTTTGAGTTTCTGATGAAAAATCCTGGTACAATAGAAATTTCTGTGAAATACTTTCAAAATGCTACTCATTTTTCTGTTTTGATAAGAAGACAACACTAAGATTCATATTTATATATTTTGACATCTGATTTTACTGAATTTTGTTGCCTTGAATACTAACATAAGTAAGCTTTGTTGACATGGTTACTAAAATTAGAAATTTCTGTGAAATTCTTTTTAAAATTAACCCCTTCAAATTTAATTTGATCGCAATCTTGCTCTACTAAATCAAGGATCATCATTCTTTTTAATGTTGTTGTAAAATTTCAAGTATATTGCTATTTTTCTTTTCCTTTGATATACATTCAAGAAAGTGGAACTAAAGTCTACAGAGAAAATCTTAGTTTTATCCTAATAGGGCTTTTACAGTAACACTTTTTACGTATAATTTTTTTTTCATTTTTTAATACCATTTAAACGAGAAAACATATATTATAGAAACAATCAAATTTGTGTTTGTAAAATCAAATACCATTTCCTGAAAACTTTCCGTCCTCCACATTGAATGCCTGTACTTGAAACTCCCTGAACATAAAGGCCAGGATATCATCTGAGAAAGCCCCTCCTTTTATACACTTATAATACAATTTAGGACTCGACAGCTCCACTGGTGTACCATTCACACTGTGGATTAACTCAGCTGTAATCGGACCGTACAAAAGCAATGCAACTTCATGATACAATGTACAACTACATTTTTAATATTTTTGACAAGTCATAACTCAATCCTGAAATTCGCAAAGAAGAAGTTACTCTATTACATATAGTTAATATAGAAATAGCGATAAATTCACACAGTCTACATGTAATTCATAACGAAAGTTCTTATAATTTTTTTTAATAGTTACACTTAATGACATCAGGGAACTTTGTAAGATAAACACCAGCAGACCACGAATACAGGTAAGATTTGCCATCCATGATTGTAAAATTAAATGTTAAGGATTGAATTCCTCCATCTTTCGGGGTGATGGTGAGACTGGATTCAGTGTCATTTCCACTGGCACATGTTCCACCGACTGTGACATCACTGCTAGCCGGAACATCCACAATCAAACTGACCTGTAATTAATATAAAGAAGACTTACTTCAATTTAAAGATGTACCTTTAGTAGTAAACCTGTTTTTGTTCAGAACTTAAACAAGAAGAGAAGTGCCGTAAATTGGATCTAATTCATCTCATTTTCATTTCATTTTTATTCTAATGGAGGTTTTTATTTGAGTCAGTGAATATCAACATATGATAATCATTATTTATGGTACATTCTTATAAAATATTTACTCGTAAACCTCAACATTATTCAACCTTTGTAAAGAGGACGGAACATGATCTGAGAAAAACTTTACCCAATAAGGACCTACATGTTCTTTTAAATAATCCATCTGTAATGCCATTACATTTCGAATTGGAGAGTAGATAGTTTGTACAACATTGTGGAAAATATGCCTATGCATGAAAGTTTACTGTGCAAAAGATTTTTTTTGCCGGAGATGTGGTAAAAATTTCTCATACATGTATTTAATTTTAATCACAGTATGTTGCTCTTTTTGACAATATCTAGCTCTTTGAGAAGGAAAGCGAATGATTTGTATTAACACGGAACATAGCTATTAAAAAAGAGGCAGAACAAATATTTTTGTATTTGACCATATGAATCTAAAATATGAATGGCCTATAAAAGTTCAAAAACCATAAGACTACAGTTCTGTAGCTAATAAGAAAGAGAGTTGTGCTTATTTCTCCAGCTTCATATACAACAATACTTAAAAAGGGTACACATGCAGTTAACATGTCCTGATGGGTCAATTGAAATTTGAATGTCCGTATAATGCCATTTTGATTGTAAGATGCAAACAAAATCTTACAGTTCTATTCTCCTTTGTCATATAAGTCACTTTAAGCTGGAAGCTTCCTGCCATGATGAGACAGGCTTTAGAATTTTCCATGACTTCATATATGGACGTGTTGGGGAATGGAAGAGCAGGAGGAGTTGTGGGAGAGACTGTTATGAGTGCAGTGGTGGGGCCCTCTGTCGTGACATTAGATGGTCCAAATGTTGTTTGTTCTGTTGATACAACAGTTGTTGCTGATGGTTCTGTTGTGGGTTGAGTGGGTTCCGAGGCTGCTTTTGTTGTCTCTTGTTCTGTAGATTTCATCTGATCAGCACTACACACAAACACTGAAATATGTGTAGTATAGAATAAATTAAAAATATTTCATTTGCCCAAGACCCCGTATCTTGACTTAGGGGTGTCCCTTACGAAAATACTATTGTAAACTATTTGTTTTGAACATATTTTATTGTCGAAATGTCAAAAAAATTGAACACAAGTTCCAAAAACTTAGGTAGTCATCTCATAATCATAGATACAAACTAAAGTTAACTAAAGTAAATCAAAGTTCCAAAGTTCCAAAGTTTTCACTTTAGTAAAACAAAGTTCCACAGTTTTAATTATGGTTAATCAAAATTCTAAAAGTTTTCAAAATTCCAAACTTTTCAGTATAGCAAATCCATAGTTTTTACTATAGTAGAGCAAAGTTTCAAAAGTTTTACATATAGTAAATCAAAGTTTTAACTATAGTAAGTCAAAGTTCCAACGTTTTACTTTCAAATTAATACTATAGTTAACTAAAGTAAACGAAAGTTAACTATTGATTATTATAGCATTTTCGATAGGGTATTGGGGAGCTTAGGGAAAGGTGGGGCACAGATGTGTTGTTTTTTCTGTTGTTGCATTCAATGACAAAAATATTACATTAGATACTGATGGTTCTATGGTTGACTGATTGGGTTCCGTTGTCATACAATTAGCATTACAGACACTGAAAGAAGTACCATATAAAATAGAAAATAATACGAGTATTTACTTCACTAAGACCAACGACATAAGTTATAGCATTTATCTTCCAGATAAATTCCAATTATATTTATAAATTATATTTCGGGGAATTTTTATTGTCCAATGTATAATACTAAAATAGAGTAAGCTGATGGGACAGAGGACTGCACCTCTTGCAATGGGACAAATATATTTTGCTGTCTGATAATGAAAAATACTGTACCTTTACAAATGCACCATATGCCTATTCTATTATAATTTTTTGTTTCTTTTAAAATGATATATTTTATTTACTATATAGGTAGGTCTTTCAATGCATATATGAAATATTTATGTTTTAAACAAGACTATGTATATGATTCATTGAATTGCTGTTAACCCAGAAGTCTCGGACAAGCCTCCAGCACTTCTCCCGGTGCCTAACTACTCATGTTTAATAGAAAAAATAATATTTATCCGATCAAAACTGTAGGAATAGCAATATTTCTGAAAGAATTTTTACCCAGAGTCTTAAAAAGCGTACCATACCTATTAGGAAAGTACCTATAATTTGAAGAATGTTTCTTTTTCTAGTTAACATCATTTAGATACAAAAGGCTTGAAAATCTTATTTTTTCTTTCCATTAATAGCTGAATGCTTGCTGATTTGACTCTTAATAATATTTTTAAGATCTAGGTGATATTTTTTTTTGCGTTGGTTTCTGATCAGAAGCAAGAAATTAATGTATTTATTTACAGAATTAGAAAACCGATAAGTCAACGAAAAGTGTTCTATGAATGACAAATTTTAAACACGTTCTATAGTCCATAATCCATGCATGTGAGGATTAAAAATCTAACCATCAGTGCTGAGGTTTCCATTCCGTATATTAAAAGCCTGGATCTGAACGTTTGACATAACAATGGTCATTGTGTAAGTGGTCCCTTCCAGCTCTCCAATCAATGTCATTCTCTGGATGGATTCACATTGGTAAAGTTGGGTGTCTGATCCAAGTTTCAAGTCTCCAGTGTCCAACAAACTTATTGTATCTGTAATTTTGATTACATGGTACATGTATCATGAATATTTTATATGTGTATATAGATAAAAATATAAAATGATACTTGATACTTTTGTCAAATTGATTCCTTACTTGTTATGGGTGTTCCTGGAAAGAACTCGAATGGAGCGAATATAAACATCAAGCTCATGTTCACTGATAAATCAGGGAGAGCATTGAAAGTCAAGACCAAAAAGTCTTCATTGGAATTTGTCAGTGTCAATACGGACTGATACTCTCCTGCAGTTGAACAATCCCCACCCTTTACAGTAAAATTATTTCCATCAAATTTTACAGTTTCATTTCCATCACTCAGGGTAAACAGGGCATCCATCTTGACATCAATACAGTTTCTTTGTTGTCGTACATATACTTATATTCTGATCCTTGTGTCAGTAATAATGCTTAATTTGTCAAAAATGGAAAATAGTAAATGTCAAAATCAAGTCTAGGATATATATGCAAAATTATATATATATATATATATATATATATATATATATATATATATATATATATATATATATATATATATATATATATATATATATATATATATATATATATATATATTTTATCTAAAGCGCTTTCGCCCCATGCGGGCTCATCAGTAGATTTGAAATTGTAAACAAGTTACAATATGACGTCAATCTCGTGACGTTATGTAGGCAACGTTAAACATAATTACTGTGACGTAATAGTAATAACAGTTAAATGAGGCGCACAGATAAAGTTTTACAGTTCATCTGATCAAAGTTAAGCGCCTATTATAAATGTACAATAATGGAGACATTTTATATAAAAAGTACATTATAAAATAATTTGATATAATTTCCTTTTATATCAAATTATTTTATTATGTACGTTTTACTGCCGTGCAGTGAGCACTTTGCTACCTGTGGGAAAGGGAAATTTAAATTATTTCCATTTTATAAAATGCACAATGACTGTGAAATATCCAGAGTAGCAAAGGAGGACTACTTCATTAAACTATTTAACCCAAAACTTAACAGAAAATAATTACTTCAGTTTTAACCTAAGTTAATTTTCTACATGTTTTTTGGTTTATTTTAGTGATTTTAGCGGTGCGAATTATAATGCTACCTTTTAACGTTATTATGACGTCACAATGGACAATACTTGACGTCGTGCTTATGAACGTTACTAAGCAATTTTATATTTAACTTTTAACTGTCTGAAGAGCCATTAGGCAGAAAGCGCTAACAGTAAAAATGATTTTTCGAGATTTGTGATTTCTGACTTGTTTTCATTGGATATATATATATATATATATATATATATATATATATATATATATATATATATATATATATATATATATATATATATATATATATATATATATATATATATATATATATATATGAAATACGTCCGGTTTTTCGGGTTTACTCACGTGAAGTGCGCTTTACATAATTGAAGGAATTAATTACGCTAATATCATAATATTGTTGTAAAGCAATGCCACCTATAGATATAAAGAAGGATATGGAGATAACGAAGTGTATTCAATATCAAATCCATAAAACAATACAAAATAGAAGCAGAGCCAACATGGACCTCTGAAACATCAGAGGTGGGATCAGGTGCCATGGAGGAATGAGCATCCCCTGCTGACCGGTCACACCCGCCGTGTGCTCATTGGCATGATCGGGATATAACGGAAAAAATCCGTCGTCAATTCAGAGTATAAATAATGAACTAACAATTAGTATGAAAAACGTCAATTAGCGTTTAACTTAATGAAAATTGGTTTTTGCTGATAAGGTCATTGTATCGACCTTAAAAATAGATGCTGACTATATAAGTTATCTTCGCAAAAATGTGCATTTACCTTTAAACATATGGAAATGGGACACAAAAATCACACAATCAATCAAACATATGGACTTCTCATATTGTACAAGGCTGATATATTATCAAGCCTAACCTTCATTCCGTATTAATTAAAAAGTAGAAAATTCTATCCAATATGATTTTAAATCATTTTCTATACATTCAACATTCCTCGGAAAATTGCTATAACCATATTAACTACCTAGAGCCTTCGGTTGGCTCGATTAATTAACAAGTTTCTGATTATCCTAGCTGTGGTGAATGAGTGACAATTGAATAATGCAGCACTATATAATTAACAAGAGGCCCAGGGGCCACAGCGCTCACCTGAGCACATCGGACTTGAATTTACTCCCCCCTCCAGGCGTTCATCATTTGAACAAACTAGAATCTACACTACCTGAGGACGATTCCATATAAATACCACTAATCATAGCTTTGAAGTACTTGAAAAGAAGATAAATTTCAAAGGTTTCCCTATATATCCCTATGTAAAACTTGGGTCGGCCATTTTGGCCCTACCCTAGCCACGGGGGTCATGATTTGAACAAAATTGAATCTACACTACCTGAGGATGATTCCACATGAGTTTCATCTTTCCTGGCCCAGTGGTTCTGGAAAAGAAGATTTTTAAAGATTTTTCCTATATATTCCTATGTAAAACTTGGGTCGATCATTTTGGCCCCACCCTTGCCCCGGGGGTCATGATTTGAACAAACTTAAATCTACACTACCTGAGGATGACTCCACATGAGTTTCATCTTTCCTGGCCCAGTGGTTCTGGAGAAAAAGATTTTTAAAGATTTTTCCTATATATTCCAATGTAAAATTTGGGTTTGCCATTTTGGCCCCACCCTTGCCCCGGGGGTCATGATTTAAACAAACTTGAATCTACACTACCTGAGGATGATTCCACAAGAGTTTAATCTTTCCTGGCCCAGTGGTTCTGGAGAAGAAGATTTTTAAAGATATTTCCTATATATTCCTATGTAAAACTTGGGTCGGCCATTTTGGCCCCACCCTTGCCCCGGGGGTCATGATTTGAACAAACTTGAATCTACACTACCTGAGGATGATTCCACATGAGTTTCATCTTTCCTGGCCCAGTGGTTCTGGAGAAGAAGATTTTTAAAGATTTTTCCTATATATTCCTATGTAAAACTTGGGTTGGCCATTTTGGCCCCACCCTCTCCCCGGGGGTCATGATTTGAACAAACTTGAATCTACACTACCTGAGGATGATTCCACATGAGTTTCATCTTTCCTGGCCCAGTGGTTCTGGAGAAGAAGATTTTTAAAGATATTTCCTATATATTCCTATGTAAAACTTGGGTCGGCCATTTTGGCCCCACCCTTGCCCCGGGGGTCATGATTTGAACAAACTTGAATCTACACTTCCTGAGGATGCTTCCACATGAGTTTCATCTTTCCTGGCCCATTGGTTCTGGAGAAGAAGATTTTTTAAAAATGCCATTAATTTTTAACAAATTTATGATTATCTCCCCTTGGAAAAGGGAGTGGCCCTTCATTTGAACAAACTTGCATTCCCTTCACCCAAGGATACTTTTTGCCAAGTTTGGTTGAAATCGGCCCAGTGGTTCTTGAGAAGAAGATGAAAATGTGAAAAGTTTACGACAACAACAACGACGACAACGACAGACGACGGACAAATTTTGATCAGAAAAGCTCACTTGAGCCTTCGGCTCAGGTGAGCTAAAAATATATAATTAAACAGGAATCAAAATTATTTTTTAATTTCAATATTTAAATGCAAGACTTTTTAAATAGTATTTTATTTTAACACACTACATGTACTTACCCAATAGGAATATCGTTCCAAGGGAAATTTTTTTGCAAATGTAGTTCGACATCGAACGTTCAGGTTAGTTTCAAATAAGTTTAAAATTAAACTTTCTAAGAAAGAGTATAACACAAATCGTTTAAATAAAATTTTAAGCATACACATTATAAACATAATATATGTATGTATATATACATATTGTAAGATACGCAAGTTGTTAGCATATTGCACACCCTGCACTCGTATACCTTTTCCCCTTGTAATGTTATTGAACATTGATTATCTATAGTTTACTCCATATATTACTCCATGTTTTTATCTAAAATTATAAACAATGGAACAACTGTAATAAGATAACGGAAGTTAATTTTAACTTCTGAAAAAATAATGCTAAAACAACATTGCACATACGTGCACTTTAATGATTTTCCCCTTATTCTTCTTAAACTTTGACTATTTTCTAATTGATCATGAATAAAGTCCATTTGATATTCTGGATGAGACTGCCTCCAGTTATCAATGTGACTGTGGTTGTTTCTAAGATATTCTTGAAAAAAAAAAAACAAAGTTCTTCTTATGATACTTGAACCCTTCTGTGGCCCGGACGCATCCTCAGAGGACAAAAAGATTATATTTTTTTTCTTTACAGTTGAGAACAGGTACAGTTTCAATTCAAATTAAGCCCTGTATTTCCCTAAGATATGAAAGTATAAATAAAATTAAAATACATTATACATTCTCTCTGAACCATAGGGACTCCATGCAGTGAGAATATACAAATCGGGTTCCTCATATGACCTCCCCAAATGGTAATTGTAATGCATTAACATGTGCATTTTCCCGATTTTTCTTTAAAAGTGCAGAAGACATCTTTTTTCAGTGGAATGTGCTTTCAGAAAACACACTCTGACTCCATTGCCCAAAAATTTTGAGATGTGATTTTTCAAATATTTTACATAATATACCCCCAAATTAAAGTGGGCGACCTTTTTTCTTATGGAAAATAATCACAGAATTGAGTAATATTTCCAGAATGGTGCCCTTTAATGTCATTTTTTTTAGTTATTTTTCATATTTGTCAGTCCTCTTATCAGGTTTACCCCTAATCCGAGAAAAAAATTATTCTTTAATCATTAGAGAATCAAAGCCTGTTCCTGTAATGTTCCACTAAGCTTCTTTGTTTATTCCCCACTGGAGTATTAACAACAGCGAAGGAGTAACTTCACCAGTACTGTGCAGCAAAATTTTAAAGAAGTGGTGTAAATAGAATATGGGTACTCAACAATTCCAGGGAACTTTGAAAATTTTGAATTGCAAACGAAAAATTACCAAAACCAAATACACCAAAACCTATCATTTTTTAAAAAATAAATTTATACAACCAATTTTGACATAAAAAATTCCGTTTTTAAGTTAATAAAATACTATTTTCCAATTAAACTAATCACTGATATTTTAAAAACATAATTTTATTAAAACATTCTGATTGTACTCACAAGTACAGTATTTTGAAGTTGGTAAGATATGTGTCGTTAATACATGTACCAGACATTTTTTGTATTCATACATGTATGAAGCATAATTAATTTTAAAAACACTTGTACGAGGTTTGTTCGAAAAGTTCGTGAACGCTTTCAATCATCGATATGTTACTCACCAGAAATTTCAAATAAGCACAATATGTAAAAAATATTTGTTTTGTTGATGTGGGAAGTTTC